AGGGAAGGTGATCCTTCAGATTTTGCCAAAGAAATGCTTATTACAGGGGGTGGGGGCGGGGGGAGAAATGACCCAAGCCTTGTATGTACATATGAATAATAAAACAAACAAACAACAAAAAAGAAATGCTTATTACAAAACACCGTCCCTGAAGACTGGGGTGTGGCTCAAGTGGTAGGGTACCTGCTTAGCAAGTGTGAGATCTTGAGTTCAAACCCTGGTACCAGCCAAAACAAAATAAACCTCCAACTAAAACATCTTCCCTGACCCTACCTTTTTGACACTTTGTGTGTGGGGGTGTGGAGCTAGAGATCAAACCTAGGACCTTGTACATGCTGGGCAAGTGCTTTACCAAGCTACATCCCCAGCCCTTGGTTTGTTAGATAGGGTCTCACTATGTAGTGTAGACGGGCCTCCAACTCATGATCCTCCTGCTTCTGCCTCCCCAGTGCTGGGATTACAAGTATGTACCACCATGCCTAGTTCCTAATTACTTTTTAAAGGCCCCACCTCCCAACACTTCCACAATGCTAATCAAATTTCAACAAGAGCTTTGGAGGAGATTAGCCATATTCAAACCATAGCACTCCTCTTTCAGGTCCAGATGTGGCTTCTCATGGTCTGGTGATTTAAGCTGAAGAACAAGTTCTTTGCTAACATGAAAAAAAATGGAAAGTAACAGGAGTTGGAGAGAACACTCATATGCTCTTTTTTTTTTTCTTTTGCAGTACTGGAGTTTGAACTCAGGGCCTACACCTTGAGCTACTCCACCAGCTCTTTTTTGTGATGGGTTTCTTGAGATAGGGTCTCTTGAACTGTTTGCCTGGGCTGGCTTGGAGCCATTCTCCTTCTGATCTCTGCCTCCTGAATAGCTATGATTACAGGCGTGAGCCACAGGCACCTGGCACATATGGCCTTCTTGGAGTATGAATTGATATAACTACTTGAAGAACTTTTGCAGAATCTGATAAAGATGAACATGTACACTCCCTATAAGCCAGCAGTTCTACTCTTGGGTAAATATCTAACAGAAACGTGATCAGATGTACAAAAGACCTGTTCTACAGCATTCAAAAGAGCATTATTTATAATAGCCTAAAACTAGAAGCTCCCCATCAAGGGTACAATGGATGAGAATGTAGTATGTATCAACACAGTGAAATAGTACACAGAAATATGAACCAATAATCTCAAACTACACCAACAGGAATGAATCTCAAAATTATGTTGAGCAGATGGAGCCACAGGCAAGAGTATATACTGTGTGATTCTACTTATGTAAAATACAAAAACTGGTACAATTGTTCTGTGGTATTCAAAGTCAGGATAACAGGTACCTCTGCAGGGAGAGGGTGATGTTTGCAAGGCAGCTTAAGGTGGGGGACTCCTAGAGTGTTGGTAACTTTTTGGCTCTTGATCTGGGTGCTGGTTATATGGATGCATTCAATTTCTGAAAATTTATTGAGCTAAACACTTTTCTATAGGCGCATTTTTCTTTGTCTATGCTATACATCAACACAATGTAAAAAAAAAAAAAAGCCTTCAAGGAAACACAGTCAATGTATAATGTGAAAAAACGATAGAAAAAAATTCAGAAAAAAAAAAGAGAGTGGAAAACATTAGCTATCCCAGTCAGCAAACATATGCAATCCTGCTGGAGTAGGAGAGTTTCTTCCGTGACAGGGTATTAATTCTTACTTGAACAATCTAGAAGTCCCACCTTGTTCCATCCTCTGATTGTGCAGAACACACACCTGTTGTATCCCATTTCCTTTGCAGGGAATTCTGGGGCCCAGGGGTTGCCTTAGGGTTGAACAGCAGCAAATTGTTGTTTACCAGGCTTCAGATTTTAGGGACATATTTGTTAGACTTCTGGTCAATTCCATGTATAAGTAGCCAATTCTGGTACCAAATTATTTGCTTGGATTCATTTACAAGTTACAGAACACTCACCTATAAATGACTTAAACAAAGGTGGCTTCTCACTCATGGACCAAATTTGGACAAGAATGGAAGCAGAGAGATCAGGTGGGAAACTCTTTCTGGAGCAGATAATGGTTCCTTGGACTGGAATGATAGTAGAGGTGGAAATACTAAAGGACTCAGGATATATTCTGGTAGTATCAAGAAGATTTCCTTAGCCAGGTGCTGGTGGCTCACCCCTGTAATCCTAGCTACTTGGGAGGCTGAGATCAGGAGGACTACATTTCAAGGCCAGCTTGGAGTGGTGTGGGGGAATAGTTCGAGAGACCCTATCTTGAAAAAACCCAACACAAAATAGAGTGGCTCAAGTGGTAGAGCACCTGCCCAAGAGGCCCTGAGTTTAAATCCCAGTACCACCAAAAAAAAAAAAAAAAAAAAAAAAAAAAGGATTGAGAGAAATCAAGAACTGCTAGAATCTTAGCTTGAACAACTGAATAAGTAAGATTTACTTACTTATTTACTAAATGAGATTTACTAAATGAACAAGCCAGAGAAGTGCAGATTTTAGGGTAAAAATCAAGTTTTTTTGGGGGGAGGAAACATGTTAAGTTTGATATGCTAATTAGAGATTCATGTGGAGATGTCAAGTAGGCAGTTATTTAGAGGAATCAGGACTTATATGGGGAGGTCACTCCTAGAGAGAGAAATTTTGGAGTTGTCTGCATATAATTGATATCTAAAACACAGAACTAGATGAAGTCGCATAGGGAGAGCAAGTAGATAGGGAAGGGTTCTCGGAACCCTAGGCACTTTGATATTTATACATGGAAGAAGGCAGCAAAAGAGCCCAAGAAAGAAAAGCCAGTGAGGTAGCAGGAAGACCAAGAGTGTGTGGTGTCAGAAACCAAGACAAGAAAGTGCTTCAGAGTGGGAAGTGGTTATGATGAATAGTGTTGACAGGGGAGGAAAATAAAAACAGAGATCGAAGAAAAGACCACTGGATTTACATGAAAATTGCAGTTTCAGCAGCACGGTGGGGAAGAAACCAGAAAGCAAGCTTAGATGTTGATGGGAATGGTCTGGTAGAGATGGAACACTTGATTTGAGAGAGAGATGACAAAAGATAGTATCTGTAGAAAAAGTGGGAATAGAATGAAGACACTATCCATCTACCAGATACCAAGTTTCTTTTCTTTTCTTTTTTTTTCTTGCAGTTCTGGGGCTTGAACTCAGCTCCTTCACCTTGAGTCACCCCACCAGCCCTGTTTTTTTTTTTTTGTGATGGGTTTTTTGAGATAGGGTCTCACAGAACTATTTGCCCCAGCTGGCTTTGAACACGATCTTCCTGATCTCTGCCTCCTGAGTAGTAGGATTACAGGCATGAGCCACGGGCATCTGGCTCTGAGTTTCTTAAAGAAAGATACCATGTCTTACTTAGCTACTTAGTATGAAGAAGGTACACAAAGAACTGTTATTGACTTAATGAATAAATGAACAAATGGAGGGATGGATGAATAAAGGAATGGCAGGTGCAAGGCACCTGGAATGAACTAGATCAAAACAACCCAAAGTTCAGAGTAAGGAAAGAAGGATATTGAATCAATAGGGTTCCTTTAGGGACTTAGGGATCCTAGGATTTTTCTCTGGGATAAGGTTTACATTTTAATTTTTTTTTTGAACAGGCAAAATAACTTTATTCCAAATTAAACATTAAGGGGAGAATAGATACACAGAAATCCAGTGATTGTTTGCAAAGACAAGAAAAATCATCAGAATTTGTTCATTTGGAGGCAATGCAAGAACACCTTACGACAGTTTTTTTTCCCCACCAGGTAGAAGGTGCCATCTACCAAATCTTGGTAGTTTTGAAAGAATGGCCTTAATATCCATGTATGGTTAAATGCATGGTAAATACCAATAGCCTTTAAAAGCATTCAGCTGTTGTTTTGTTTGCTGTTGCATTTCTAAGATAACCTTCAAAAAGGAAAAAAGAAGGGGCTTGTAAAACCATAAAACTTACTTGTAAAAATGTGTCATGCAATCTACTTGAGTAGATGGATCCCTAAAGTAAATAAAAGAGAAACTGGTACCTATTTCTCATGAATTTTTGCACTTTGACCTTTTTTTAAAAAATTCATATGTGCATACATTGTTTAGGCATTTCTCCTCCCTACATTTTAATTTTAGATGAAGGTAGAAGAATGAAGCAGTCAGGCCTTGCCCAACTTTCAAGGCACTGATCTATTAAAGCAGGCTGCAGGAAGCATTCTGGGATCACCTCCCTACTTAACTTTGTCTCTCCCTTTTTGGATCCAGACAGACTCATATAAAAAAAAAACCTGTATCTTTATGAATACAAATGGGAAAAAGGATTTTAAACATGACAGACCTGTACTAACTTATCCATCTGGTTTACAGGTATTCGCTGAACCAGGAGCAAGGGTAAAAGCAGGATTGCACAGTATTACCTATTCGTTTTGGGAAGCAAATTGTCTTCTCTCAAATAATAAAAGCAAAGCAACCAATTTCAGAACAGGTGGTATTTGAACTGGGTCACCCATAGTCTTGATGGGACTTGTTAGTGAGTAAGGATTGAGGCTGGCGGGGTTGCGAAACGGAGCAAGAAGTTTGGAAGTAGGCGGATGTGGGAAACGCAGGTCCCAAAGCTGCTATCAGCGTCTTCTAGCCATTTCATTAGAGGCAGAGTTACGGTTCCTACTGTCTTTCTTCCCAACTCGTAGCCAAGAGGAACCAATGGACCCGCAAAAGTAAACTGAAGGCGGAGCTGGAGCCAGCTTTGGAGTCCGCCCATGCTGGATGCGCCAGTTTACGTCCCGCGCCGAACTACGTTCCTGAGGATTCCCGGACTGCTTTGGAATCTGCGGGACCCCCGGAGCCCAGCTCTAGCTGTACCCGGTTGTCGCCCTCAGGAGGCGGGCGGGTCGCGTCGGCAGCCAGTTACACGTGGACTCAGGCGAGCCGGCCGGGCAGGGGGCGGGGCCTGCGGCGCCAATGGGCGGGCCGAGGGCAGCGCGCATGCGTGGCCTCTCGGGGGCGGGGCGCCCGGCCTAGAAAGAGTGTCCTGGGGACAGGGGCTGGCTGGTTCACGCCGAAGAGCTTCGCGTCTGTGGTTGGGATAGTGAGGGTGAGTAAACTCGTGGGTGGTGAGGTCCGACTCTTAGGCCGGTGGGCTACAGTCGTCCGCAGTGGCGCGGGATCCATGGGGCCCGGGGCTCAGGATGGGAGGCGGGGGCGGCTGGGTGGGCGGTAGCCCCTCGGGCGGTCTCGAGACGCTTGGCGGCCAGGAACCGGGCCTGTCCCCTGGGGCAGAAGCCTGTGTCCCTACTGGGGGCTTTGGAGGTTGGCGGGTCCAGCCGGGTCGGTCACCGCCCTCTTGGCTGGCCCCTGGGGGCCCCAGGACTTGGCGGTGGGTCCATCTGTTTGGGTCCGAAAGCACGTCGGCCGGAGGCATTACCTACTTCCAGTCTGCCTCTGGCTCCCCTTCTTCTTCTGGGGAGACTCACAGGTCCTGGCGGCAGGGTTGGCTAGGCTGAGCCGGGTGGGAGTGGGAAGGCAGGAGAAGCTGATTTCCCTTCCTTCGCATGATACCGCTATCCATGCAGGTACCCACACCAGAAACCTGGGCGTCATTTTCACCTGCGCTCCTTTACCGCCCCTCCCCGCCCACCCCGAATCTATTCAAAGCTTTCACTTGTCCAGCCTTAGCTGATTCAGGCCCCCCTCCCTGCTCCTCTGGACCACCTCAATAGCCTCTTGACTGGGACGGTTCCTTACATCACTTCTTGATCCTCTGCACGTTGTTCAGTGCAGGTGAGCTAGAGCCATGGTCTTAAAACAGAAATCTCATCTGTTCTCCAATTCCCTCTCCCATTTCCTTATCCTTCTGTGAATTCTCATTGCTCTTCCAAGCTCTTGAACAGGGCTTGCAAAAGCCTTTTGTGATCTGTCCTCTTGGTACTTTACTGAAGATTCGTCCATCTTCAACTTTATTGTATCCTTAGTTCCTAGATTGGACCAGGTACCTTCTGGGCCCCTTCCAGGCTTCAGTACAGTGTGTTCCTTCAGCCAGAAGCACTAGCCTTTGGTTGAAATGTGCCTCATGCTTCATGTGCCGTTCCAGATATGAGTTGGGCTTCTGTGGTACTCTATGCATGTCTGTTAGTGGTCTCTCCTTTCCACCAGGTGTCATCTGTGTGAGAAGAGTTTACCTGGGTCACATTAGTGACTTTAGTATCTGTGCCATTCTACTCTTTATATGTTACCAGACTTTTAATATGTTGGTTAAATTTACTATAAGTAAATCATGACTTCTTTTTGGGCTCCTCGAGTGAGCAGTTAGATTAAGCTATTAAATGCCAGCATTTTCAAAACCAGTTCTCAACCCTTAGCCCATGTAGAGATTTCTTTAGCCTATGAACTTGATTATTTTCTTTTAGTCCAAGACTATTGCAGTGATAAATGGGGGAAGAACTGGTCAGAATTTTCTTTAACATTGGCTCTGAGTACAGGATGTCTGGATGTTAGTGAGTGTGGCTATTTCAAGTGTGAATTCTTAACTCAGGGCCCCTGGCCTCAGAGAAAAGCTGCCAACAGCTGTTAGGAGGAAGACTGGCAAACTCTCATGTGCTGATAGGAATAATGACACAATGAGAAGGAAGGGTGACCCAGGCCAAACCAGTGGTGGGAGAGCTCCAAAGGGAAATGCCAGCTTAGGTCACAGCCTCTGTGATAAGGAACAACACAACGAGGTGCCAAGACCCATTGCCCTGATTCAGACTGTATCTGAATCAGGAGGGCTTAGCAAGCAAATGAGAGGGAAGACAGGGGCCTGGCCCTAGGAGAGGGAGGAAAAGAGAAAAATAGAAAAGGAGAGCGGTATGTGACCATATGTTAAGGTTAAATGAGTGTAAAAGGCTGCTGACTGAGGTCAGAGGAGGGAGTAAGTGGTATTGGCTAAATGACAACTCTTGGTGACATTTAAACTAGGCCTAGAATGAATGGACAGATGGCACCAGTGGGAGCTAGGGCTGTGGGGCAGGAGGAAGTTGCTGGAGCAGCGCAAGGAGCCTTGTTAGAGTTAAGGTACTGTAAAAGCCCCATTACTGACTGTGGTCCAGCACCTCCTTCCCAGGATTGAGGCTGCCCCTTATGACGGATATCAAGGCATTGGTTTGCATTCTGAAGTCTCTTGGCAGAAATCTCTCTCTTGGATTTTTCTCCAGCCTGGCCTTTATAATTTCCTTAAGAAGGCAAGCGAACTTGGGAACTCCTGGGGTTTTATCTTCTAGGCTTTGTGCCCATGGCCTTGAACTAAGTAGTTAGATGTAGATGATGCAACTTATTCTTTGGGCAGAATGGAATAGTTTATATTGTATTAAAACTTTTTTTTTTTTTCAGTACTGGGGTTTGAACTCAGGGCCTCATGCTTGCTAGGCAGGCACTTTTACTGCTTGAGCCAATCTGCCAGTCCTATGTTTCCTTTTGATTGTGAGGAGTCTAATTTGTTAGGTACCATTCAGAATCCTTATTGGGGAACTTTTATGTGTTTAGAAGTGGCTTTTGTTGTGTTTTAATGATTAGAAACCTGCAACAGCAAACCAAAGTGGGACAAGTTGAAACTTTGCTCTCTTCTTTAGATAAGGGATAATTTGGACTCACATTTCCTGTATTATTAATCACTTGATTGCTTTTTGATATTACCTGAGTAGAAAACATCCCTTTATGCACCCCAGTTTGAAATACTTGGTATCCAACCATGTAGTTAAAGGAAAAGGTGTCATGAGTTTAGAGATCACTAAGCTGAACTGTCTATCTGAGTCCTGTTCTTAATTACATTGACATCAAAACTTAGCAGCATATCTGTGGTGACTCTCCAACTCCCCAAGGACCATGACATACACACAGACTGAGAATCATCAGTCTCTGCACTAGGCACTGTGCCCTGTGTTGGGACTGTCCTCTCACAGCTGGTCTAGCAAGGTGCACTGACAAGTAATCAGGCAGTTTCTAAGATTGTGTTCACAGCTGTCTTCAGTGATGGACAGGAGTCTTGTGAAGGGAGCACGTGGGAAGAACACCTAAGCCAGACTCAAAAGGTTTGCTAGAAGTCAGGTGTGACGGGGCATGCCTATAATCCTAGCACTTGGGAGGCTGAGGTAGGAGTATCACAAGGTTGAGGCCAACCTGGACTATATAACGACCTCCAGGATGGCCTGGCCCATTACATAATGACACCCTGTCTCAAAAACAAGCAAGCTAGCAAACAAACAAAAAGCAAAAAGAGGGCTTGTTGGAGAAACACATTGGATGTAAATGAGTCTGAAGGGCTCTGTAGGAACTGGATCCCTTCTCTGGTCCTTCCTGACCTAGAACTCCAAGTTTTGGGTTCAGAGCAATTTGTTATGCTCTGGCCTGGGCTACAGAGTGAGTCAGCCACTACACAGTGAGTTCAACATAACAGTCACTGCTAGGAGTAACTTAAGACCTTGTTTTCTGGTACCAGGTTCAGTGGCAGTAGCTTTGGTAAAATTGGAAGTGTGATTTGTTGCTGCTTTTGAATTAGTTTCTGGAGCTAAGAATTAACTAGATACTGTATACCATACGGTTAAAAAAAAGCATTACACAGGTTTTTTGACTATGATTAATAATGTATTTTTGGCTTTCAGGGCTTATATGGCAGCAGCAAGCATGCTGCTCACCCTTTGAAAGGCAACCAGAGGGATGCTCTGGGATAGGAAAGTAAATGTCAACAATTATAATCAATTTCTGTAAACCGGAAAAAAAAAAAAAAAGAACCAGAAATCATGTCATCCATGTAGTATTGGAACAAAATTATGGAAGAGATTACATAAAATACACATTTGTACAGAAATGTGTGGTATGGTAGACATTTTGAAACAGTGGAAAAAGTAAGAAACAATCACAGTGACTCCTAATCTCATAATTCAACAATCTTTGTTCACAGTTTTTAGTCATTGTTTTATGTATGAGATACATGTATGTGTGTGTGTGTGTATATATATATATATGTGTATATACACACATGCATGTATTAGGGAAGATCCTGAGAGTATTCCACATATAACTATGTTATATTATATCATATTTATTATATTATTATATTACATTTGCCCATTTTTCTATTTTGCAAAAGTGAATTATTCTTTTTTTTTTTAATTCATTTATTCACATGTGCATACATTGTTTGGGTCATTTCTCCCCCCAAAGTGAATTATTTTTTACAGTCTTTTTTTTAGGTACTGGAGTTTGAATTTAGGGTCTTGAAATTTCCGGGCAGCAGTCACTCTGCTACTGGGAGCCACACCTCCAGCAAAAAGGCTTTTTTTTTTTTTTTTTGGCAGTCCTGGGGTTTGAACTCAGGGTCTATACCTTGAGCCACTCTGCCAGCCCTTTTTTGTGATGATTTTTTTCCAGATAGGGTCTCTCAAACTATTTGCCCAGGCTGGCTTCGAACCATGATCCTCCTGAACTTACTCCTGAGTAGCTAAGATTACAGGCGTGAGCCACTGGCGCCCAGCAGTGCTGTTTCCTGTGACATCCACCTCTTGCTCTCTATGCAGTATGACAGATTGCATTATAATGTCACTGACCGGGAGTAAAACTAGATGCTGCCTTTTACTACCCTGGACGTTACATGTCCCAGTGACTGTTGTCCCCTTTAAGGAGAAAGCCATAAAAGGATGGGTAAAATGGATTCGGGAAATTTTTCTAAATGTCATAGGGTGACATACTCTCAGGGTCCTCCCTAAGAGCCTTTTAGGATGGATGATGGCTGTAACTTGCTTCCCAGCCCCAGGCATAGAGAGGAGGCGGTGGCAGCTTGATGTGTTCTTTGAGGACAGCATGTGTAAGAGTGGGACCAGTTGCACTTAGGCTTTATCTTTACTGCTGTAGGTTTGGGGCTGAGATGCTCTTGGCCCTGTAAGGAGCCACTGGCTCTTACTATCCAGCAGAATTTGCTCTGCTTTTTGGGAAGCGAATGTTTGGTCAGGTCTTTTCTAAGTTTTGTTACGTAAGTCGCCAGTTGTTCTTCACCTTTTTCAGGTCAGTCTCTAAGTCCCAAGAAGGAACAGGACTTCCAGTTGAACCACAGTTATTAGAGGCTTACCTGACCCTCAACGGGGATACTGTTGAGAAGAGTACTTCCTGTCCTCAGGGAGCTTGCTCTGTGGCTGACTGAGTTTTCTTGTTGAACACAGTTCCAAGCATCATGAAGCCCTGGGAAGATGGGATAGAATCCTAACTTCTGTGTAACTTAACTTTCTAGTGCAGTCTCTCTGCAATCTCGTCTGTGATTGCAACTCTGGGAGGTAGATAAGACAGGAGCTGATGTCCCTGTCTCCACACCCACTGCTGTAGAGGTTGGTCTGACCTGCCTTATTACCTCCCTCAGCTCCCGTGCTCCTGTCTCTGCTCTGCACCATGGAGCTGCCAGATGAGTCAGTCTGGAGCCAAGCTCTGATCTCATCTTCCTGTCACGAATCATTAGTTGCTCCCCATTTATCCTCAGGAAATGTCAACCCCTTCACCTGCTAAGCAATGACGTGTCCAGTATGGCCTATTCACCTTTGCTCTTATCTGCTGCTGTCTGCTGCCTACCCTCCTGAGAGACGAAACTGTGTGTGCTTTCTTTCCCACTTGTGTGCTTGCGTTATTTCCTCAGTCCTCCATCCCTGCACGTCTGTCCAGGCCTAGCTGAAGCGTCACCATGTCTGTAAGTTTTCTCTGGTTTTCCATCACCCAAGGAGATTTCCTCTGAGCTCCCAGAGGGCTTTTCTTTCTTGAGTCCACCTTGCTCTCTGCTTTTAGTGGTCCCATCAGAAGTGTTTCTCTTGGTAGACTGTGAGCATGTAGGCAGGACTGATCTTTTAAGCTCTCGTGGCGCTGCTTGACCCTCTGAAGGTATGTCAGGAAGCATTGGGAAGGCCCCCCCCCACCCCATATGAGTGATTGGGGACCTAGAGAGCCCAGGGTCATCCTGCAGTCTGCTGGCAGAGCTGGCCTTGGGCCCAGTTTGACAGGCTCTCATCCCCAACCTCACTGGCTCTCAGGGTTTCCCAGAAGTGTGCTGTGTTGAGTCTTACAAGAAATCCTAGCTCTGGTGCTCTGCCTTCATCTTCTGTATTCCCCACCTCCCAGGTACCGGTGACCATGAGATCCCTCCGGCTACTCAGAGCCCCCTTCCTGTGTGGCCTGCTCTGGGCTTTTTGTGCTCCAGGTGCCAGGGCCCAGGAGCCTGGGGCTGGTGTCCCCCATCCTAGCAGCGTGGGCCTGGATAAGAACACAGTGCATGACCAAGAGTATGTATTCGGCTGGGGTTGGGGTCCAGGGGCTTCCCTGCTATCTACAGCTGTAGCCCGAAGCAAAGGCATACCCAGTCCTCTTTCCCTTACTCCTAGCTATGTGGAGGAAGTTTATTTCATCTTATCACAGACGGAGGATATTGAGGCACAAATAGTATAAATTACTTGTCTGAATTCAGTCTCTCTTTCACCACAGACAGACAGATGTACGTATATGTGCACATGCACATAGACACACTCAACAGATATGGTAGGAATAGAAGAATCCTGAATGTAATTAAAGTTTCTTAACTCTGAAAAGACTTTTTTTAGTGACACTGAATCATTTGTCCTAGCTTCTGTACTCAGCTGCTCAAATATAAACTTTATTAGCCATGAATTGCTTTTTAAAAAGTATTTTTTTTCAGTATTGGGATTTGAACTCAGGGCCTATACCTGGAGCCACTCCACCAGCCCTTTTTTGTGTAGGTTTTTTTTTTTTTTTTTGAGATAGGGTATCACAAATTATTTGCCCAGGCTGGCTTTGAACCGCAATCCTCTTGATCTCTGCCTTCTGAGTAGCTAAGATTATAGGGGTGAACCATTGGCTCCCGGATTTAAAAAGTATTTTTAAGGGGCTGGTACGTGGCTCAAGTGGGTAGAGTGCCTGCCTAGCAAGCATGAGGCCCTGAGTTCAAACCCCATTACCACCAAAAAAAAGTATTTCTAAATTGATGGCCCAAAAGTGTTGAAACAAAATTCTTATAATAAAGAGGAAAGCCATTCTTTTTTTTTTTTTTTTCATTTTTCTTTTATTATTCATATGTGCATACAAGGCTTGGTTTATTTCTCCCCCCTGCCCCCACCCCCTCCCTTACCACCCACTCCACCCCCTCCCGGGGAAAGCCATTCTTAATCCTGCTAGCATAACAGATGAACAGGGCTTTGTCCCTGCCCCTTTCATGGCCCTGTTTACATGTGTCATCCTCGAGTGTGGTCTGCCACTGTTTTCTGAGCTGAATGAAGCTGAAGATCTTGAAGTTTTCTGAGTCCTTAAGGTTTTGGCACAATCTGTTGGTTTTTAGGCATATCATGGAGCATCTAGAAGGTGTCATCAACAAACCAGAGGCGGAGATGTCCCCACAAGAACTGCAGCTCCATTATTTCAAAATGCACGATTATGATGGCAATAATTTGCTTGACGGCTTAGAACTCTCCACAGCCATCACCCATGTCCATAAGGAGGTAGGTCAGGCAGTGGCTCGGTGGGCAGTATCTGAGGAAGCCTCTCTTTGGTAGCTTGGTCCCCATTCTGATGACCTGTGCTGTCCTCGTGCCTCAGTAGTGCTGCTCATTCTTTCTCTGCCTGTTGCTCTCTCCCACCTCTTCCTGTTCATTGGTCCTTTCCTCGGGGTGACCTTCGGAGCCAGACACCCCAGGGCCAGGCATCTGAATCGTTAGTACTTCAGCATTTCTGTGGACTGATTCTTGTTTTGTTTTGCTTTTTCTTTTGGCGGTACTGGGGTTTGAATTTAGGGCCTCACACTTGCTAGGCTTGATAGAAAGGTGCTCTGTCACTTGAGCCATTCCACCAGCCCAGTACCTTAGCATTTCTGCTGCACACCAGAGTTTGACAGCCAGTGCCTGAAAAAACAGGCCCCATTCTTAATACAGAGCAGAGGAGAAAGAAGCTATTTCATTTGAGACGAACAGCCAGTCAGGACCACAGGATGGAGGGCCCTGGCAGTAGTTGGGGTTTATGCCATACTGTACAGTGCTCCATAGTGTCCAAGCACTTTTAGGTTGGGTAGAGATCTTGCTGCTCTTTGCAACAGCCCATGCAGGCAGGGGCAGGCACATTACTCCCATTTCTAGGTGAGGGAACTAAAATCCAGACCTCGTGCCTCCAGATTTAATGTCATCCCCTCCGATGACATAGGTGCCAGGAGTGCAAGTTGGGGCTTGCTCTGAAGGCAGTAGGAGTGCCAGCAGCTTTGCATGGGAGAAGGTCACTATTTTGGGAGGTTCCTGTGCTGTGGGAGATGGACTGATGGACAGGTGGAGAGACTAGTGTTAGGGAGAGGTGCTAGGATCCCTCACTATGAGGATGGTGGTGGCCACAGAGGAGAACCTGGGGATGTGGTGAAGGAGGAACCAGCCAAGGAGGTGAATGGCGTTAGCTTTGCACCCGGTAGTAAACCCTGCTACATACCTGATTCTGGAGCAGGGCAATAGATTCTCTTCCAAGATTATAACAGCTTCTACTGGTTAACAGTGCCTTCTCCCAATATGTCACTACTTTATCAGGCAGATTGCACATCGAGCTGACCCTTCAGAGGGCTTGAGCTGTGAGCTTTTCTCTGGGATGGTGTGTAGGCTGTAGAATCTGAAACTCATAGTTCTGTGTAAGCTAGACCCAGATTTCTATAATGAACATGTATTACTTTTATAATTAGAAAAGAGGGAACAGTAATTTTTAAAACAAATATGCAGGGATTTGATTGCTTTGATTTCACCTTTTAACTAGGAAATGTAATTTCTAAATTGGATTATTATAAATTGACTATCTGATATGTGACTTTGTTGATTCCTAGAAACAAGCCGTATATGAACATTAAAAGAATTTCTAGACACATTGCGAGCATGGACATTTGGGACATTGGCTAAACACGTCTAGTAAAGATGCAATTCATCATTGTTTATGTATTTGTAGGAGGGAAGTGAACAGGCACCACCAGTGAGCGAAGATGAACTGATTAACATAATAGATGGTGTTTTGAGAGATGATGACAAGAACAACGATGGATATATCGACTATGCTGAATTTGCAAAATCTCTGCAGTAGACGTTTTTTGGCCATCTCCTAGTTATATGCAAATGTGACCCATGATAATGTGATTGAACACTTCTGGTAATAACCCATTTCCAACTACTGCTGCGGCATTTTGGTAAAATCCTGTAACAATTTGTTACACTGGGGTAAGAAAGCGAAAGGAAGAGAAGTAAAAGAGAAGCAAAATGGGACATTTTATCAGACAAGGGCTTGATGAAAGAATCCTTTTAAGGGATGTGGGTTAATTGGAGCTGAGCACTCAGGAACTTGACTGTAGAATACTGCTTGTTTCTTGATTTTAATTCATGCTACCTGAAAAGTAAGACAATAAGCTTTGCCAAGTGGACACACTTTTCAGTAACAGTGAAGGGATGGAATGAATGCCTGACATTTCCCCTGCCTCTTTAAGTAAACATGGTCAGTATTCTGTGACGTTCCTCTGGTGTAGTTCACTTGCTTGGGCAAGTGGCTCTGTTGGGCTGTATTAAAGCCACAGTGTAAGAATGTCAAGTACAGAGTTCAGCTGGCTACACAGTCTGATTCTGTTGTCTTCTGGCATTTTGGAAATGATACACCACTGGCCTAAGTGATTAACTTTTTCCAGATTTTCAGTATTTTATACAACTACTGCCACATTCTTATAATTCTCTTCTGCCATCTTCAGCCTGGGAGAGACCTTGAACTTAAAAATATTGTTGAGTCAGTAGCAAGTGTTTTACCTTTCTTGATATTTATACTTCACTCTTGTTTCGAGTTTCCTTTCTTCAGTTTAGGATCTATCAGGAAAGTAAGGACTTGGAACAGTAGGTTTGAACTATTAGCTGGCCTAGCGTGAGTGGAAAGTGAAAAGATCATTCACCAAACTTGGTGATTAACTTGATCCAAGTTCTATTTCAGAAGAATGTTTGCTCAATGACCTCTTCCAGCCTGAGTACGCAAATTCTCTTATTTCAAGAAAGATTAGAAAAGGAAGCCCAAAACCCCTTTAACAGTGTGAATCTCAGTAACATTTGAAAGTGAGGAGGAGTCACGGATTGTAATTTGGTTTGTTGGAGGGATAGACATGCTGTACTAGAAAACCCAAAATGATGCTTGAATGGGAAAAAGAAACTGCATAAAATTTGCTGTAAGATATACAGAGACTTATTTTCTTTATTAAAGTATTCTTATAAGAACACATGTATTTGTAAAAATGGTTTCCTGTGTCAAGTATTTGTGCTATCAGAGCTGACTTGTAAACTATTCTTGTAATATCTCATTATTTTGAAAGATTTATATAATGAATTCTAGATATCTGACCAATAAAGCGGTTGAAAAAATAAGCAGTTGATTTTGTCCACGTAGGCCTTTTCTCCCACCACATGGAGGGCTGTTTGTTTGGTACAAATGTTGACATCTGCAGCTCTTATCACAGGTGTGACTGCCTCAGTTACACCCTGCTTCTTTTTGCAGGGCAGATTCTCAGTATTCACAGTCACTTTCCCCTTTTAGGCATTTTTTTCTTCTGAGTGAAATAATTTTTGAATTTATCTTCTCCAGCCAAATTCAGATTGTGACAGCATCCTCAAGGCTGGGAAAAATACATAGTGTTTTTCCCTAGAGTCTGGTAGTTGTTTTTTCTTTGCCAGAAAATTTAATTAGATAGCACTATTGAAAACATCCAGGTCAAACCATGAAAGCACAGACTCCCTGGCATTCTGGAAATGGCATACTTTGCTCTCCCTGTTGAAAAGGACATTGCTATTGCCTTTTCCCTCCTTCCCAAACTCTTGAATCTTGAACCTTGCACTGCCCTTCATCCAAAGCTACCCCTCTGAAATGATACAGGGAATGGGCTTAGCTGGAGGATAACTCAACTCCTTCAGCAGCTGGGAAGGGAGTCAGGCGGCTGAGGGAAGGAGACAAACAGGCCCTTCAAAGGTAGAGTCGCCCCATTAGGGCAAAGCTGGAACCCCTTGCTAGCTCTGTGGTCGTGGGAGGCAGCGTCCCTTTTCTGATGGAAAATTCCCAACGGGAGAGGGGCCTGGGCTTAGCATGATTTGCCTCTCCCTGCACACGCCCTCATGTCCCCTCTGCCAGGGCTTGGCCTTCCCTGCACACTCCCTCATGTCCCCTCTGCCAGGGCTTGGCCTTCCCTGCACACTCCCTCATGTCCCCTCTGCCAGGGCTTGGCCTTCCCTGCACACTCCCTCATGTCCCCTCTGCCAGGGCTTGGCCTTCCCTGCACACTCCCTCATGTCCCCTCTGCCAGGGCTTGGCCTTCCCTGCACACTCCCTCATGTCCCTCTGCCAGGGCTTGGCCTTCCCTGCACACTCCCTCATGTCCCCTCTGCCAGGGCTTGGCCTTCCCTGCACACTCCCTCATGTCCCCTCTGCCAGGGCTTGGCCTTCCCTGCACACTCCCTCATGTCCCCTCTGCCAGGGCTTGGCCTTCCCTGCACACTCCCTCATGTCCCTCTGCCAGGGCTTGGCCTTCCCTGCACACTCCCTCATGTCCCCTCTGCCAGGGCTTGGCCTTCCCTGCACACTCCCTCATGTCCCCTCTGCCAGGGCTTGGCCTTCCCTGCACACTCCCTCATGTCCCCTCTGCCAGGGCTTGGCCTTCCCTGCACACTCCCTCATGTCCCCTCTGCCAGGGCTTGGCCTTCCCTGCACACTCCCTCATGTCCCTCTGCCAGGGCTTGGCCTTCCCTGCACACTCCTCCCTCATGTCCCCTCTGCCAGGGCTTGGCCTTCCCTGCACACTCCCTCATGTCCCCTCTGCCAGGGCTTGGCCTTCCCTGCACACTCCCTCATGTCCCCTCTGCCAGGGCTTGGCCTTCCCTGCACACTCCCTCATGTCCCTCTGCCAGGGCTTGGCCTTCCCTGCACACTCCCTCATGTCCCCTCTGCCAGGGCTTGGCCTTCCCTGCACACTCCTCCCTCATGTCCCCTCTGCCAGGGCTTGGCCTTCCCTGCACACTCCCTCATGTCCCCTCTGCCAGGGCTTGGCCTTCCCTGCACACTCCCTCATGTCCCCTCTGCCAGGGCTTGGCCTTCCCTGCACACTCCCTCATGTCCCCTCTGCCAGGGCTTGGCCTTCCCTGCACACTCCCTCATGTCCCCTCTGCCAGGGCTTGGCCTTCCCTGCACACTCCTCCCTCATGTCCCCTCTGCCAGGCTTGGCCTTCCCTGCACACTCCCTCATGTCCCCTCTGCCAGGGCTTGGCCTTCCCTGCACACTCCCTCATGTCCCCTCTGCCAGGGCTTGGCCTTCCTGCACACTCCCTCATGTCCTCTGCCAGGGCTTGGCCTTCCCTGCACACTCCCTCATGTCCCCTCTGCCAGGGCTTGGCCTTCCCTGCACACTCCTCCCTCATGTCCCCTCTGCCAGGGCTTGGCCTTCCCTGCACACTCCCTCATGTCCCCTCTGCCAGGGCTTGGCCTTCCCTGCACACTCCCTCATGTCCCCTCTGCCAGGGCTTGGCCTTCCCTGCACACTCCCTCATGTCCCCTCTGCCAGGGCTTGGCCTTCCCTGCACACTCCCTCATGTCCCCTCTGCCAGGGCTTGGCCTTCCCTGCACACTCCTCCCTCATGTCCCCTCTGCCAGGGCTTGGCCTTCCCTGCACACTCCCTCATGTCCCCTCTGCCAGGGCTTGGCCTTCCCTGCACACTCCCTCATGTCCCCTCTGCCAGGGCTTGGCCTTCCCTGCACACTCCCTCATGTCCCCTCTGCCAGGGCTTGGCCTTCCCCATCTTCAGTGGACTGAGAGATGGTGCTAGCCCCGGATCCCAGCTGTGAAGGGGGTAGGCTAAGAGTGGTGGGTGGTAGCCAGTGAGGAAAGAGGGGGGTATTGAGGGGAGACCAGCTCCTTTGTCCCTGAGAATTCCAGAAAGGCTCACGTGCCAAGGCAGGGAAACGTGAAATGGGGAGCCTGTGACAGGGTTTACTGGAAGACCTGTAAAAGGAAAAGACAGACCCTTGCTCAGTCTGTCACATCCAGGTACCCCACACCCCACCGCAGAACATTGGGGCTCTGAAGCTCTGGCTCAGAACAGCAAGGTGGGGGCGGGGGGCATGGGGCTGAGAGATCCCACAGAACACAGAAGTGGTGTGACCAAACAGCTCCAGAAGGCCAGCACCCAGGCTCATGTGCCCTGGGAATGAGGTCAGAAGCTCCTTTTCTGGGAAATTGAACTGCCCTCTCAGAAGGGGCAATGTCAAGTCCTGAGATGCAGGGCTTCCTGTGAAAAATCCTTGCCTTTCCAGTGTCTTCCCACTAGGTTGCTGGGGAAGAACATGCAGTCATGTCTGCGAGGGTGAAAGGGCTCTGCTGTCCAGAGAGAAGAGAGAGTTTGAGGGAGTCCTTGCACCCTGATGGGAGTGGGAGTAGGTGGGACTGGCCCAAGTGGCTGGAGTCCCACAGAACTGAAGCAGGCTGATGTCCCTTGCCCCCAGCTGTGGGGACAGCCCAAGAGGAGTGGGAAGAGGAGAGGCATGGCCGTTGTTGGTGAACCTGAGAGCAGAGATCCAACAAGCATAGAAATCAAGGCAACCTTGGGGAACAATCTGGAGGTGCTTGGAGGTCGGCAAGTCAGAGTGCCAGGGTTAGTGAGGACTCATCTGTGATCCCTCTCTGGGGTCCACAGCTAAATTCGATGGGTGCTGTGCGGTGTGGATGGGAACACGTGACTATCTCTGAAGAGATAAAGATGTAGTGGGTGCTAAGCCAGGGATCCCTAGACTTTTTCCCAAAGGTTTTGGAAGTGCCCATTCTTGTAAACTATGGATTCATGAGAAGTCAGGAACCCATCCATGTCAATCTCATCGACAGCCTGGCCTTGGCCTGCTGGGCAGTCACTGGGTGGGAAGAAGATGGTGCAAATGGGGCATGGCAGGGGCAGAGGTAACTGCATGGAGGCCAAAAAAGGAAGTCCATGGCCAGTGACCTCCCCTGCCTCAGGGTAGGCCTCCAGTCTAAGGCTTGGACACCTGTGTGTCTCCCTCTAGGCCACTCTCATATCTCACTCATTTCAAGAAAGTGGGCACACTCACACCATACCACCCTGCCTTAGATTCAGTTAGGCCTGGATATGAACCCAATTCAGGCTCGCACATTCTGTCTTCCAGAGACTTAATGTTTTGGACCAAGGACACAGTGGAGGGGAGGTGTGGGTAGAGTGTGAATTGCAGTGTTCTGGACCTTTGCTATTCAGTGTGTGGGGCTGAACATCTGGCCCCATCCAAGGTCAGCTGAGCCAGAACTGCTTTTGAACAGATCCACTGTGACTTGTGTGCTCATTTAAATCTGAGAGCACGTGCTGTCAAGAAGCCTAAGCCACATTGTTCCTTCTGGTTTGACAAGGGTGGTCCCGCTCCTCCTTGGATTCCAGTGGTCTCTTATTGAATTGGCTTTTGCTAGCTTTGGCTAACTTGGTTTCTACATTGTCTAAAATTAAGATATCTTACCAATGCATATTAGCAAGTCTGGCATGTGGGGAGTGGGACAGTAAGATGCAAGGGCAGGCTGACCTTGCCCAAAGTATGAGTCAGTTTGCCACTCACAGAGGGTCAGACCTTGGTGCTCATAAATGCTTTGAGTCTTGTTAAAAATCCTCACGAAATGAAATTGTTTCTAATCATTTAGTTTTTAGTATGAAGATTTTTTTCCCCCAAAGGACCCTTTACTATCTCTATGACAGAAGAATCAGAAACTTTTTTTTTTTGGGTGGCACTAGGGTTTGATCTCAAGGCCTCACACTTGCTAAGCAAGCACTCTTACTGCCTGCACTCTTACCAGCTCTTTGTGTGTGTGTGATGGATTTTTTTGGGATAGGGTCTGGAGAACTGTTTGCCCAGGCTGGTTTTGAACTATGATCCTCCTGATCTCTTCCTCCTGAGTAGTTAGGATTACAGGTGTGAGTCCAGCTATACAAAATTTTTTTTACAATGTAGCAGAGGCCTAACCCTGATAAGGCCTGTATTGAAACTGTCCTGAGGGACAGCCTTCTAATCAAGTGAGAAGGAGACCATTGTTTCCTCTCTTCTGGAAAGCCCTCTCTGCCTAGTCTAATCCATGGTCACCTGTCCCTTCTTAGAGCTTCCAGGGTAAAGGTCTTCACCTTTTTTTTGTGTGCCATGGACTACATTACAAATATGCATTTATGTTATCAATTGCATAAAATAAAGAACAAAGGACTTTGAAAGAATGATTCATATTGAAATATAGTCCTAACAAGGCACCAGTGACTCATGCAGAGATCAGGAGGATCTAGGTTCCAAGCCAGCCCAGCCAAACAGTTCACAACACTCTATCTCAT